TTTAGACAAAGCAGCGGAAGAAGTCCAATGGCTTAAAAGCTTCCTAGAAGGTATACCATTGTGGCCAACCTGTCATCGCTATTTGTATACATTGTGACAGTATGGCCGCTCTAACAAGAGCAAAGAATCAGATATACAATGGTAAATCGAGACACATAAGGCGTTGTCACAACACTATATGTGATTTGCTAAAGAATGGAATCACATCCATTGATTATGTAAAGTCAAGGGAAAACATAGCCGATCCTTTGACAAAAGGGCTAAACAGAGAGCAAGTCATATACACATTGAGGGGAATAAGCTTAAAGCCACTTCAATGAGTTATCACCTGGCAGAAACCTAACCTAGCAACATTGGAGATCCCATGGTCTAGGTTCAATAGGCAAACTAATTGGAGAAAACTCAATACGCAATATAATACACAAGTATGCTCATTCCTATGATACTTCTTGTGTGTTTCCATTGACGAGTAAGGGTTGAATAATACTTCTTAGTAATGCTAATAGCTTTAACAGTGGAACAATACAAAATGTTCTTGATTGGCATTACCTATGTGAGATTGATGTATGGTCGCATCTATGAGGACCGAGATGGCTACATTCTCTAAGAAACTCATGAAGAAAGGATACGTTCAAGACCAAAATGAACACAACCATAAAAGTTACACTATGTGCTAGATATGATGTATGTGATACTTGTTGTCTAGAATTACCAAAAAATGTGGTTAGTTCAAGACATTGTTTACTACCCACAAAGTAGATCCAATTTGTACTCACTATCAAAGGTTCAAGTCCAAAAGACACCTTTTCAAATGTATGTCATATCTTACTCCATGGAATAGAAAATTATATCCTTTGTATTGCTTATTTTCTATTCAAATGTGGGGTATTGTTAGTGTTTGAATAGAAAATGTGGGGTATTGTTGGGATTTTACCATGGGAATTGATCCCACATAGGAAGGAGAGGGAAATTTGGAGAGGCTTATGAGGATAACTCCATAAGCCTTATCAAATTGGACTAAGTTACATGGATTAAGCTTGGTGCTTGCATATATACATTAATTGTCAAAGATAGGGCCTTGGGCCTTGGGTCTCTTGACCATTATGGTTGTGGACAAACCACACACTGTTCCGAACAGTCGTGACCGTTCACATGAGATTTTTGGTTAACCGCCAAAAACTGCCAACCGTATATATAGTTTTTCATTTTCCCTCCAAATTCGACAGAAAAAAGGAATATATAGCATTCCTTAGTTTTTCCTCTGGTTTTTCCTTTGGTTTTTTCTCAATATAAGAATCTCCACAGATTCACGTTCTCATGCAAGAACGCAAATTAGATAGTTGTATCATCTAAACAGATGCTCAAACTACGCCGAGTAGGGGCGAAATTATGTTTAAGGACATTGCAGGAGCCTGCCTATATTTGTTTATCTTCAATCATTGATTCCAAGTAAGTTTTCTTACTCTACATGGTAAGAATCTGTTATATAAACATATATACACATACAGGTTTTGTTGTCTTTCCTTGATTTTAGGCATTCGTTGAACACTAATTGCACACAAACATATACACTAGTTCGTGGAAAAAATCGGTGCCATAACACTAGTTCTAACAATAGAGACACAGGGTCTCTGAAACCCACATCCTACTCCTAGAAGCACCAATAACTTCCAACCTTTTGGGTAGCTACTCCACCTCTTATCAATTTCAAGACCCACTTCCATCTTCGACCAATTTCAAGACAAACCTGGATATGTAGTTTTTCTCCCCTTTTCTCTCTCGAACCACCTCGTTTGTGATAATTGTCAAGAAAATCTTTTGAGGGTCATCATAGTTGTTTTGACAGAGTAATAATACGATGGCTGGTCACTACTAGAAAACCAGGTTTCAGCGACGAATAACAGCGAGGGAAATTTTCCCTCGCAGATCAGCGAGGGATCAGCGAGGGAAATGCCAAAAAACTCATTCCCTCGCTGATCTGCGAGGGAAAATTTCCCTCGCTGATCCCTCGCAAATCAGCGAGGGATCAGCGAGGGAAATGCCAAAAAAACTCATTCCCTCGCTGATCTGCGAGGGAAAAATTCCTTCGCTGATGCCTCGCAAATCAGCGAGGGATCAGTGAGAGAATTGCCAAAAAACTCATTCCCTCGCTGATCCCTCGCTGATTTGCGAGGGAAATTTCTTCTGCAAATTCCCTCGCTGATCCCTCGCAGATCAGCGAGGGATCAGCGAGGGAAATGACAAAATTCACATTCCCTCGCAGATCCCTCGCTGATCTGTGGGGGATCAGCGAGGGATTTTTCTATTTTTCCTATTTTCTCATTTTTATGTGTTATATGTACATGTTTTTATGTGTTGATGTCGTATGTATGCATGTCATGTGTTGTTTGTGTGTGTGTATATATATATATATATATATATATGTATGTATGTATATATATGTGTTGTGGTTGCTAACCGCGATATGTGCATGTGTTATAAGTATATATACCCGTCGTGAGGGAAAATGATTTTTGCCAGTTTTTAATTTTATAGCTACTAATTTAATTACTTATAAATTATTTATCAATAATTATTTATTAGATTATTACAAAAATTAATTAATAAAGCTGATTAAGCCTAATAAAACCGAATAAAACCCATTAAGGTCCAATAAACCAAATAAAGTCAAATAAAACTAAATAAAGTTTATTGAGGCTCGATAAACTCAATGAAGCCCGGTAAATAGATTAAGACCCAATAAAACAGAACAAAGCCCAATTAAATGGGTTAAGGCCTAAAACCATATGAATCTGCATATAACACACACACACTGTCTATACATTCACATATACACATATGTTTAAGCATATATTCATCTATCCAATCGTGGTTAGCAACCAGTACACATCGTGTCTATATGTGTATGTAATATTGACCGACGGGTATATATACATATAACACATACAACGTCGTGTAAACATATGTATATAACACGGGCTAACGGGTATATATACTTATAACACATGCATATATACATACGATACCTAAATATAAAAATATAACACATAAAATTCAAGAAAATCAAGAAAATAGGCAAATTCCCTCGCTGATCCCTCGCAGATCAGCGAGGGAAATGGCCAAAAATCATATTCCCTCGCAGATCCCTAGCAGATCTGTGAGGGATCAGCGAGAGATTTTTCTATTTTTCCTATTTTCTCATTTTTATGTGTTATATGTACATATTTTTATGTGTTGATGTCGTATAACAAACACACACACACACACACTGTCTATACATTCACATATACACATACATTTAAACATATATTCTCCATCCAATCGTGGTTATCAACCAGTACACATCGTGTATATATGTGTATATATAATTGACCGACGGGTATATATACATATAACACATACAACGTCGTGTAAACATATATGTATATAACACGGGCTAACGGGTATATATAATTATAACACATGCATATATATATATATATATACAATACCTAAATATAAAAATATAACACATAAAATTCAAGAAAATAAGAAAATAGGTTATTAAAGCCCGATAAACTCAATATATCCCGGTAAATAGATTAAGGTCCAATAAAACCGAACAAAGCCCCAGTTAAATGGGTTAAGCCCCGATAAAAAAAAAATTAGGATAATTTCCTCGCTGATCCCTCGCAGATCAGCGAGGGGTCAGCGAGGGAATATGATTTTTGTAAATTCACTCGTTGATCCCTCGCTGATCAGCGAGGGATCAGTGAGGGAACTGACAAAAAAAATTTATGTCTTATTTTGCGTTTATGTGTTTTGCGTTCTTTGATGAATATATATATATATATATATATATATATATTATATTATATATATTATTTATATATATATATATATCTATATATATATATACCGACTTCTCACACACAAAGCTAGTTAACATATTTGCGACGGAATCAGTCCGTCGCTAATTGTTTTTACAAAGCTAGGTTAAGCCTCCAGTACACTCTTTTTCCAATTGCCCACTTCCCTCTAACAAGCCTGATATCGAGATCGAGAGAGAGAGAGAGGGACGCGATATCGAGAAAGAGAGAGAGAGCGACAGGTTTCCGTCTAAAGCGTCGCCGACGGCCGCCGTCCTCACCGTCGCCGACCACCGCCGTCCTCACCTTCTTCACCGTCGCCGACCACCGCTGTCCCCTTTGTGACCACCACAGCAGCGCCGTCGTCGACCACCGTCTTCACCGTCACCGTCGTCGCCCATCGTCGTCCTCACCGTCTTCATACACACACACACAAGTATGCATATATCCCTCTTATTTGTTTCATTCTTTATATGTTATTAGATCAAATCAGCTCTTCGTGCAATTCGCAATATGGATAACCTTTCAGCTGTTAGAAGGGTAGGAGACAGAGACAAACCTATTAATGATATTCTTGAGTGGTTGTCATCAGTTTTTGGATTTCAGGTAACTTGCACTTGATCCACTTTGTTCAACTTTTGAATATTTTGTGGCTTTGTTGTGTTTCTTTATATTCTTCCCATCTCACCCTTAATGATCCTGTGAAAAAGAGCACAATAAACTTTTTCGACCCATCTCTTTAATTTATCTGAAGTGATAGAAAACTCTAGTCCTGATAAATCCATTGACCATATTATAGCCTCAAAAGGTTTATGACTTGAAACTCATGCCGAAATTATTCGTCTTATACACAAACATGTGTGTGTAACTGTGTATATGTATGTATATATATTTGTGTGTATATGCTTATATATATGGTTTCATCTGCTTATCAAATTATCTACCGGAAATTGAAAAAGATTAAAAGAAAGACCAAAAGAAATCCACCTTCTATTTTTATGTCAAGCAGTGGATAGATAAATGCCAGTATAGCAATAGAAGCTAGATATGTTGTTAATATGATTACTTAACTGACATTCCCTTTTGAATTATTCCTCTTTCTGAATGGGTAGGGGGAGTTTTCTGTAGGCAATTATTGGGTATCTGTATGTTTACAATTGTATGGTATGATTTATGGTAGTTTAGAAGAAGAAGAATTGGAATGAGATAAAAGCGAAAGGTGAAGAAGAAGAAGAATTGGAATGGAGTGCAGATATGTCACAACTGTTTATCGGGAACAAATTCGCCATGGGAAGACACAGTAGGATTTACAGAGGAGTTTATAAGCAGAAAGATGTTGCTGTTAAGCTTATTAGTCAGCCTGAAGAAGATCCCGATTTGGCTTCTATGTTGGAAAAACAGTTCACTTCTGAGGTCGTCTTGTTTTTTCGTCTCAAGCATCCCAATATCATCACTGTAAGTAATATTAGCTTGTTGTTTTCTTAATTATCCTCTCTTGATTATCACATGAGTACATGATATATAACACACATATATGATACACAGATTTTTTAATCATTTTGTACCAAATCATTCGCTATCTATCAACGGTTTAAACAAAGAACCTGCTATATTCAACCTTGCGATCAATAGATTCACATGTTTTGTGATTAAGTTCATGTCCACAGCCAAACTCGCCATTTTTAGATTGTTATTTCCGGTAATATATTGAGAGAATATGTCAAATTCTTTTTTACATAAAAAGTAATATTCAACCAAAGGGTGTGATATCAGGGTTCCAGGTAAATCCTGACCTGCCTAGAGGTCAAGGTTCACTAACTATATTATGCATTTCAAAAAGAAGTAGTAAGTTCTAACTTTGGTGGAGTTGAAGGTGGTTGGCATTTGCCATTTCTTAAATTGTGATAGATTGCAAGATTAAGACCTTTGAGACAGTGCCAGCTGCTTATTCTCATAAGATGGTCCACATAATTTTCCCTGCTTCTTTAGAGTCATTTTTATTAATAATGAACAGAAGACCTCGATCACCCGTTGGAGACAACTAGGATTCGAGATGTTAGCCGTCAATCGGTTGATATATCATGATAATTCATTGGGTGACCCACAAATATAGGGATTAGAACGAAGTTGAATTGTTGTTTGTTTTGTTGTACTAAATAATCTGTCTAAAGACCGATAATAAACTTGAATTCAGACTTTTTTTATTTGCTTACATCACAAAGAAAGTTTAGATTCTGCGATTGACATGGATATTATTCCCTCATGTCAAAAGAGAAGATGACTATTCTTCGAAAATCTACTTCTTGGTGAAGATATGTGTGTAAAAGTAGCAGATTTTGGTATCTCGTGTTTAGAATCTCAATGTGGCAGTGCAAAGGGATTTACGGGTACTTATCGTTGGATGGCACCAGAAATGATCGAAGAACTGAAACACACAAAGAAAATTGATGTCTACAGTTTCGCAGTTGTCTTGTGGGAGCTTTTAACTGCGTTGACACCATTTGACGATATGACTCCGGAACAGGCTGCATTTGCAGTATGCCAAAAGGTATCATCTTCAATCATATTACTCTACGATGTTAATTTTAAATTTTACATATATACGTTTGAGAATATGTGGAACCCCTGATATACTCTCCAACAGAGCCTTTGAGGAGAGAAGGGAGGTTCCAACATAGACAAAGGAGAATGGTCCAAGTCTAGCCAATGTGGGATTTTAACATGCCCCCTCGAATGGAGACTAGAGGGACACATATTGTCCAAGAGTGTCGAGAGGGGCCTAGACATGTGAGGGGCTAAACTAGTAAAGATGCCCAGAGTGTTGAATCTTTAGAGTGGTAGATCTTGGCTCTGAGTTTTGTTTACAGGTAGATCTTTCTCTTTACTAAAATTGCGAACAAATTACTGATTTCGAAGATTATTGAATATTTACAGGTAACGGAGTTGAGAGAGAAGTTGTCAAGGGTAGAAGAGGAACTCGAGACCGAACGGAAGAATAGGGCAAATTTGGAGGCCAGACAAGCTGCCTCAGCAGCTGAACAGGCCAGACAAGCTGCTGCGTTTATGCGGCAGTCAGGATACGTTTTCTCACCTCCCCCAGATCCCGATAGTTAGATTGTATGTAATCGAAGATTAAATTGTATGAATTGAATATTTTAAATTGTATGAATCCATATTTTAAATCGTATGAATTGGTTACTTTTGTTTACAGATTTGGTTTGTTATATATTATTATTTTCAGGTTTTTTAAAAATAAATACAGGATTTGTGTGTTTTTAAAAAATTTATTTTTTAATTGTTTACAAATTAGCGACGGATTAGCGAGGGAAAATCCATCGCTGAAAGTGCTTGAATTTCCCTCGCAAATCCGTCGCTGAAAGTTCTCTCGCAAATCCGTCGCTGAAAGTTCCCTCGCAAATCCGTCGCTGATAGTTCCCTCGCAAATCCGTCGCTGAAAGTTCCGTCGCAAATCCGTCGCTGAAAGTTCCCTCGCAAATCCGTCGCTGATCCGTCGCTAAATACTTCCCTCGCTGATCCGTCGCTGAAAGTGTCCGTCGCAAATCCGTCGCTGAAAGTGTCCGTCGCAAATCCGTCGCTGATTTCCGTCGCTGATCCGTCGCTGATAGCATTACCTACGACTGTTTGACCGACGGAGTATCAGCGACGGAAATCACTTTCTGCGACGGATCAGCGAGGAAATTTTCCCTCGCTGATACCCAGCATTTTTGTAGTGGGTGCCATCGATGGTGCCATGTTGGATCCGCCCCTGGGTTAGAGGGTTGGTGGTTGTACATGTGTGTATATAATATGTGAATATATAATATCAATTTATTATTTATTCTTTCATATGAGTAAACACAACATAAAAAGACAAAAGAAAGAGTAAGAAAACATAAATAACCTTCATTTGACGAAGACTTTTAAATGGAGTTAAATAAAATGACCACTTTCATATAAAAATTCAAACCACAATGACCATTGTTGTACTTACAAACGTTTTGGGACGTTGTTTGTAATAGAGCTAAACCACACAAGGGCCAAAATTGTAGTTCACTTTGTCTTTTATGAATTTTTAAACGTATATCTTCATCGAGAAAATAGTGTTTTAGGGTGTCGAGAGGATGGATATCTACAACACCCCACCTAACTATAGGAACGAAGCATGTTGTATATTTACTCTAAATATAATTATATTATATATATTAGTGGTTGCTATTCATACTCCATTCACTTATATGCATCTATTTCTTACTTTCTACTTCAACATTATTATTATATCAGTTGTGTATCCGCTACAATGCACCAGAAACCAATAATAAAAATAAATGCAAGGGCTCACTAAAAATCTAAAATTTATAACAAACCAAAATTACGACCTTTTGTCCCTCAGTTAATGAAAAACACTCTATCGTTAGAACACAAGCTAGATATTACTATAATTGGCAAAATTAACATAAAAATCTTGCCCATTATACCTCTCCCACAAAAAGAAATTCAAAATCTCTTGCAATAAAGATGAAAACTTTTTGATAGTTTAGAGACTTTAGAATAACACAACAAAAGAAGAGAGAATCCGTCTACCATATAATTGATGATCATAGTGTGAAGGTAAGGAGGAAATTGTCGAAAAGCTGAAGCTTTAAATGGTGTACATTACGCATCATATGTAGTACCTCTTAAAATCCCAAGATGACTAAAGTGTTGCATTATAAAAGAGTATATACACATTGCTATGGAATTTGTATAGGTTGGTATCCATATCACATAACATGCCACATTTGGCTAGGTAAGCAGAAAGTCCACCCTACACAAGTCACCATCTTCATCTTTCTCACAGGTAATCTTCAATCTTTGTCTTCTATTTTCGTTTTTAATTCCAATTTTTTTGGTTTTTAACTCCAAATTTTCTTGGTGTAAAAGGGTTTATATAACTTGAGGAAATCTTAGATTTTTATCAGAAATAAAAAAAGAATCTTAAGGGTTAACGTCCTCTTGCACATGTTGCCTTACAATTTGTACATGGTTTGAACGATTTGGCTTTGATGTCAACATGCCATAGAGGGTTGCTGCTTGAAAGAATTAGATAGATAGCTATGAAAAAAAAATCTAGATTTATATAGAAGTGGATGAATCATTCAGTGTTTCATTAGTAGACAATCAAACATGGCTTAAGGGGAGATGGTACTTATCTGTTTAACATCATACGCTTTGTTGAGCTTCAGATGGGATTCCGTACGGAATCTCAATATTCTTCGAACTTAGCAATGGATACTACAACAAAATTGGGTTTATAGGACACCTTTAATCTCTAAGCGTCTCAATAGACCGCTTTATAGGACTTAATTTATAGGACTAAAATATAAAGTGTCCTATCTAAAGGTGTTGTAATAAGTTTATATGACGCTTTTGGGCGTCTTAACAAGTTTTTTAGGACATTTTTAATAAAAAGTGTCGCATTAGCAACTTTATATGACATTTTTGAGAAAGTGTCCTATAAACTCAATTTTTTATAGAACATTTGTTTTTATAGGACCGTTTTTCAAATAGTGCCCTATAAAGTTGCTAATGGGACACTTTATGTTAAAAGTGTCATAAAAAACTTATTACGATAGCAAAAAACGTCATATAAACTTATTACAACACCTTTAGATAAGACGCTTTATTTTTTTGGTCCTATAAACTAAGGGGTTGTTTACCAAATCTTACAGGGTAAGTGTTGTCCGGGTAAGAGTGCTGACCCGGGTAAGTGCTATCTCGGTAACTAAGTGTTGTCCCGGGTAAAATTGTTTACCAAATATTTTTGGTAAGTGCTTACTAAAAATATAATGACCATTATAACCCTATTTGTAATTATATATTGAATAATATATGATTATTTTTGTTATTAATAGTTTAATGGAAGAAAAAAAAACAAAATGTATATTTTAATAAATGCTTACCAATAAAAATAATATCATTTTACTTCTTTTCATATGTTATATGTCAAATAAGACAACAAAATATAATTTTCATACTTCAAATTAAATAGAAAAATATATTAATAGTCGTTCATACTTAAATACAAACGGGATATGAAACGTTAATACCAAAAGAAATTGTTTGTTTTTCATCCTAGATAATAAAAATTAATTTGAAGCATTTGAAAACAGTTGAGTCGCAATCTGATCCCGCTGGTTAGCCATACATCCATTGTCTTGAGAAGCCCCCCATTGTACTTCAACGACTTCTTCTTCAATAACTCCTTCATGTTGCTCTTCCGCAGTAAACATTGTGTTCTCATCATATTGCATAAACAGTTGATCTTGGATATTACATCTTCTTATAAAATTATGGATTGCAAAGCAAGGAACTACTACCTCTATTTGTTTTGGATAAGGATAACAAGCCATTTGCTTAAGAATTGGGAATCTTGCTTTCAAGACGCCATATGCACGTTCAATAATGTTTCTCAGGGTCGTCCCTGGGGGAGGGCGGCACGGGCGCACGCCCAGGGTCTTGTTATTGCTATATATTTTTGTTGGATATTTTTATCAATTTCTGCTACTATTGACTATTGTTATTTGGTTATGTTGTTCTAATTGTTTTTGTTGACTATTGTTATCTATTTTTGCTTCTACATAAAATATTTTACTATTATTTGACAATCAATCTATTGTTCTTATAATTTATGACGTGTTTCATAGTTTTGTGATTAATCAATAATTTTTTCTACTAGATGTCTCTTATATATGTCATGTTTCATAAACTTTTAATCTTAACATCTCATTTTAGTTGAGCAAAAAAAGAAGGAAAATAAAATTTAAATATTTTCATCAATTGTTTGATTTATATATCTTTCATTGAGATTCCACCGCACTACAAGATTCTATTTAAGTACTCAAACAATCATTTGTTGAGCTTGCATTTTATATGTTTAATTCATTATTTATTCTTATTAGATCTCAATGAATCATCTTTTCTTTCATATTCTTATTGATCATTGTCTATTTGTCTAGAAAACCTTGATAATCTTCTTTATTATTGATCTCTCATTGACCCTCATGATTACTTCATTCACACGAATTCTCTTTTTGTATCAAAATAACACATATTTCTTGTTATGAACTAAAAAAATTCTTACTTTTTATAAAAATTTATCAACCATAGTTTTTATACTCTTGGTTTCAAATTACCTAATAAGAAGTACGTAAATTTAAGTAACCACAAGGGTGGTGCCTGTGTGGTTTGAGTTTGGCTCCAAAGGTCAAAAGTGTCTGGAGGTCCCAGGTTCAAATTCAAGAAGAAACAAAACTCCTCTTGTGGCCACGGAGGTTCAAATGCAGTGACTCCGGGTTATCTACAAAGCAGGTAGTTGACCTGGGAATCTGGGATTAGTCGGCTTGCATAACCGGTTGGATATCCAGGTTAATAAAAATAAATTAAGTACTCTCTTATATATATTTATAATAAGATAAATAAGATTACTTTTCTCAGTAAATTATTAGCATTTCTTGTACTCAATTTTATACTATTAAAAGACATTTATTGATTTTTTTTTGTACTTACCGAGAGTCACTACAAGAAAAAGGAGCTTTGACGATGCACATTTTAGTGATGACATGTTTCCACCATAAGTTATAACGACGACATGTTGGTATATACTCTTTCTGATGATAAATAGTCTTTTAGCGACGACAAAAGTCGTTGCTACAAGTCTTGTTTCTTGCAGTGGGCCCTGTTTTTACGTTCGCCCAGGGCCAATAAAATGTCAGGAACGTGCCTGAGTCGTTTCTAAGTTGTGCATGCGCATGGTTGAATTTTTCTTCTTTAGTTACCGCACGTCCACATCGATAATCAGCTAACCAATACCTTTGTCCAACCTGTGGCGACAAATCTCTTCCGTTGGCCCAACCTGTGGTGACAAATCGATGTCCATGGTCCCTTGATTTCATCAATTCAAAATAAAATATAAAAATTAGAAAAAAATTATTAGAGGTTAAAAAGATGATAAAATATAAATTTTATGCCTAGTGGCATAGATTCTACTTCCAACCATCTAAACTTTGATCTTTTTTTTTTTAGGGTGTCCGGGCCAAAGCCCGACTAATCCCCGGCAATTTTGGAAGCTAAACATG